AAAGGTTTTAAAAGCTGACGTAACAGGACGACTCCCAGCTATAACATTTGTAATATATAACATTTAACAAACTTTGATTTTATTTTCAGTTGTAAGAAGGTTTTATTTGTTTTGCTCAGCTTCACATTAGTTTCTCTGAAAAGCTGCTGGAGCTCAGACTTCTTGTTCTGGTGGAGCACTAGCCGCACAGCAGCCGCATGACTGTTCAGATAACTGCATTAAAGACGCTCCAGCAGCTTGCAAACAGAAGATGGACACAGCCTTTAAACCCAGGTGTTTAAAAGCAACGATAGAAGAAGAACTCTCTGGGCGGAGCTCAGTGTCGTATCAGCGGCGTGGCCACGATCAGCTCTTTGCTGCCAAAGTCCCAGAAAGCCGTAAAGTGGAAGGCGATGTTGGAGGAGACCATCAGGTACTCGATGAAGGCGAACAAGGTGTAGACTGGAGAGACAGAGCAGACAGGTCAGTGTATCCGAGTTACAGCAGCGATGAAGAATCAGTTTTCACACCGTCTCTGTGAGGCTTCCAGACGAAGGTCGCTCCGGTCTGCAGCGCTGATCAAAGTGTAAGTCGTGGCACTTCCTGGTGACGTCTAAACTGTGCTCAGGCTGAGACTGCTGTCAATGAGAAGTTTGGGCCAGGCTGGACAACGCATCCGCGAGCAAACCAACGACTGAACCAACCAAACACCTGCTCGTCTGCAGCAGAGACCAGGGTCCGTCTCCATGGATACCAGCTGAAAGACTTGATGTCCAGACTGTTCTGGGTCCGATTCACGACCTCTGGTAGGAGATGTTCAAAACACCTCCTCCAGGAGGCACCATGTGACCTCTCTAATGCTGGCCATGCACTGAGCGAGTTTTGGCCCATTTTGAGACGATTGGGGATCGGCCGAGTTTCACCTTCATCGTGTAGTATACCTGGGGTAACGAGAAGCGATTAACACCCCACGACCACCCAAACATCAGTCGTATGGGTGTAAGAAAATCAAACCTGTTTGAAATCCTGTCGGACGCACAGTGTGACTCAGGTCGCATCAGAGCATCAAACAACAACAACAAACTTTATTTATACAGCACATTTAAAAACCAGTGGTGCACCAAAGTGCTTAACATGCAAAGAGTAAGATCAGTAACAGGGAGCAGGGCTCTAGAGTGCCACCAATTTGTTCGCATTTGTGACCAAATTTTTCAGTGGTGCGACTAAAAAAAAATATTTTTTTTTGCCTGTGTGCGCCCCTGTTTTGGTGTCGCAAAAAATATATATATATCTGTGCCCTTTTCTGTGTTGTCCACCAGAGACACATTTTGCCCCTATCGTGGACTAAACCAATCAGAGATAGTCAGGGGCGGGACCTCTCTGATTGGCCGTGGTCCAGTTGAAAGTGGAAGTGGGAGGTGAGTAGCTTGAATAAAGCGATATCAATTCATTAAATCCTGACTTTTAAATATACCTGTGTTTTTGCCAGAAACGCCAGATTCTCAGATTAAAGCTCACAAAACCATTTCAACAAC